AAATCACAGATATTTACGTTTTCAAATCGCATTACAGTTGTTGCAGACACTTTGAAATACCATTTACACTCACCAGTACTTTGAAATTACAGGCATTTTGGACCTGCTTGCCACTAGGTCTTGTGATTTAATGCATTATTAAAGAAGCACATACATTAACATACTTTGGTAACTGTATTTCAGTATAATTGATATTCTTTGTGATCCACTGTATTTTATTGTATGCACTTGAAAATATTCTTCTGGAAAGGGAACCATGAGACCAAAGGGATCCATGGGGCACCGAATGCTCAAGAAGCTGTGCTTTAGGGATGACCGTTTCTGAAGACAGTGTCTTGCCCTCCACCCCCACCCCCGCATCCCCAAAACTCCCAGGCAGTAAGATTCACTGGAAGGACTTATTATTCCGAGTGGGGCCTGAGAATCATTTTGTTTAACAAGAGCCTCAGGTGATTTGGGGAATGCTGTCTTCTAATCAGTAAATTTGGGAAATGCTGCCTCAGGCTGTGTCTGTTGGAAATCAATAGCCAATTTCAGTACCTGAAGACGCTGCCTTGCTTACTCCCACCTTCTGTATCGCCAAAGGGAGTTACTTATATTCATTAGCAAGTGAGAGTAACACCACCTGGCCACTGCACAATTCTGGAGTGAGTTATTCATTAGAATTTAGGAGAAAGGTAGAATCATGTCTCTACAGAGCCTTAAATCGATCAGATTTTGGTTTTGCTTTTTTTTTTTCTCCTTCAATTTCCAAGCTCACCTTACCTTTTATGTTCTCCCCACACTTTGTCCTTATGTCCCCATGAGCACTTTTCACATTGTATCCTAGTTATTTCCTGCGTGTCTCTCTCATGGGCCCTCAGCTCAGCCCCAGACCCATTCATACGTGACTCCCCCGAACATGTCCACACTACGGTCTGAGGCCCTGGGGGCAAACACAGGCTCCACTCACTTGAATATGCTCACCGGAGCGAAGTATCAGACACTCAGTTGATATCGGCTGTGTGGTGGATGGATGGGCCAGGACCAGCTCTTCTCCCTCCCAGGTGGTAGAACGGGGTGGACCTGTAGACTTCCCAGAAGGTGTGCACCAAGGTGCTAACCTGTGAGAGGCAAAATAGAGTAATCATTAATATTCAGGGTTTGTAACGCCAGCTGCTTTTACTAGCTATGCGTCCGTAGGCAAATCACTTGGCCATTCTCAGTCTCCACTTCTTTACCTTTAACCTGGAAATAACATTTACCTCATTGAGTTGCTATGAGATTCACGTGTGAGAGTTACTTAACCATGTGCTTGGTCCTTTGCAGCTCTATTGATTGCTTATTAGTATTTACTTGGTGTGGAGCACTCCAGTAAAGAAAAAAAAAAGGATTTCCATTACATATCCCACCAGTTAGAGATTCTTTTTCAGGAGTAAGCTCCAGGAAAGGCTAAGTGATGGTACCTTAGTGGGAGTTACTTCAATCAGCTGATCAGACTTTTTTCCTTTTGACACTTAGTTGAGATCAAGGAGAATGGGAAATTTGGTGGTAGAAGTGGGGACAGGAAAAGAGGAAAGTAGGGGCGACTGGGTGGCTCAGTCGGTGAAGCATCCGACTTCAGCTCAGGTCAGGATCTCACAGTTTGTGAGTTCGAGCCCTGCGTCGGGCTCTGTGCTGACAGCTCAGAGCCTGGAGGCTACTTCAGATTCTGTGTCTCCCTCTCTTTGCCCCTCCCCTGCTTGCCCTCTGTCTCTCTCTGTCTCTCTCTCTCTCTCTCAAAATAAATAAATAAATAAATAAATAAATAAAGATTTTTTAAAAAGAGAGAGGAAACCAGAACAGGGTGGCACAGGGGAAGCCAGCGGAGACCTTGAGGGCTTTGGCCTCCAGGGGCTAAAGAAGCAGGGTACCAAAAATCCTGCCAGGTGTGTGCTTTCACTACCCCCCTATAGCAGGGCAGGCAATGACCTCCATCCCAATGCCCTATCTGCCTCTGCTAGCTGTGCCACCCTGGGGGAAGTGCTGACCCTCTCCCAGCTTTCGTCCCTTTCTCTGTGGTAAAAACAGTAGCAGTCTCTCATAGGATTACAAGTGGCAATAGAGGCCATGTATGTAGAGTGCTTTGCAGAATCAAGACTTAGTAAGCATTCAAGAAATGTTAGCTATTTGTACTAATACAGGTTATGTCAGAGACCACTGACTCTTTCAGAAGAGTCCCTGCTCCTACAGAATTAAGGAACAGTAATTCAATTTCCTATCAAGTAAGCATATCATTTGTCCCCCAAAAGCTTTAAGGGCACATACAGTAAAGAACAAATTCAGTTTTCAGAATCTAAAGCTTCAAAGGTATAGACATTCCCAGAATGGGTCATGTTGGTCAGTGACTCGTGCAGAGTAAGTTCTCAATAAATGTTAGATTGTATTAACAATGTTAGGATCTCATAATGATCTCTAGTCATTTTAAGAATGCCTTGCTCCTCAGTTATCACATAAGTTCTTCAAGGACAAGGCCTGAAGTACATTTGTAAGACCTCTTTTTTTTTTTTAATTTTTTTTTTCAACGTTTTATTTTATTTTTTTGGGACAGAGAGAGACAGAGCATGAACGGGGGAGGGGCAGAGAGAGAGGGAGACACAGAATCGGAAACAGGCTCCAGGCTCTGAGCCATCAGCCCAGAGCCCGACGCGGGGCTCGAACTCACGGACCGCGAGATTGTGACCTGGCTGAAGTCGGACGCTTAACCGACTGCGTCACCCAGGCGCCCCTGTAAGACCTCTTAAAACACAAAGCAAATCCTCCTTCTACGAACTAAGGGGCCTCACAACTACTTGCTTCATGAATGAATGAATGAATGAATGAATGAATGAACGAATACCCAGCAAGCACTGGAGTTTGCTATTATTCTAACTATCCTCTCTCACCTACATTTTCACCCCCAACTCACAGACACAGGCATTCACAATTTTGCAAAAAAAAAAAAAAAAGTAGGCTTTACCCAATTTAAGACATAAATTGCATAGTAGACTTATGTTAAAATGAGACTTAGTATACAAAATTCAACTTCTGCAAGAAGCTTTTACAGTATACAACCATCCAGTGTACTGAGAAAACCGTCCTTTATTCTCCTGGCTCCCTTAAATCATTGTGTTATTATGACTATACAGCTCCCTTTTGATGAGTTTCTCATTCTCAGAATTCCTATAAATTCATATTAGGCCTTATTTATATAGAGCCAAATGGTTGAACTATAAGAAAGTAAATCCACAACCTAATGAACAAAAATAACAACTTCATCACTAGTTTGAACTTTTCATTGTTGCTTTTAAACAAAATATCCTTGGTGAAGGCTTCTCAAAATAGAGTCTGGAGAAGACCAAATACAGGGCTAACATCGGGTGCTGAAAAGAAATCTAAGGGGAAAGAAGTGATTAGGGAAGAGAGACTTCCACAACCTTTCTTTAGTGGAATAAATCAGAAATGAACAGTAAAGTGACTTGGCCACGTAACATGAATCTTGGATGAGAAAAACTAACCAGAGGAACAACACCATCTTCACACACTCTCATTTGGACAATACCTGTTTTTTCCCTTGAGAAGCTACTTCAGAAGTTAGTGTACCTATTTTTCAATCCCCTTTCTCTTAGAGAGCCACTGGGCCTGCCCAGAAGGGATATCATGAGCACCCAGCTACAGCCAGGGGCACAAAGCTTCACAGGTTTCCCCTTGAGAAGCACGGTCCCCAAGGGAAGAGGCACAAATGCCTCAGGGCCCAAGAATGGAGTTTATGGGCACTGTGAAAGTAACAGTCTCCCTGAACATGTCTGGTTTGATTCGCTTATGTAAAAAGTTTTAAAATAAAATAGAAATATGCTAGGATACCAATTAAATTACCTAAGTTCCTGGCACTCTGTAAGCATGACCAGGAGGAAGTTTGGGAGCTTAGAACACACATGTAAATGCGTGAGGCCAGGACCATCCTCACTGGTGCTGTGAGTCATAGAATCAGCACCCCTTTCTGATGCCCTGGACCCATTGTTCCCCCACCTCCTGGTGACTGAAACCGGGGCATCCAAGCCAGGTACATTGGCACAGACTTACTTCACACAGGTTCTTACAGATACTGTTCTAGAATGCTTCCAAGCTTTAAAACCAGAAGCCAGACAGATTTTTCATTTTAGAGGTAAGTGTCATGAAAAACGTGTTCCCAGCCTGTTTCCTGGGTACATGGTAAGCTCTCCACTGTGAGGAGGGCTTCAGAAAGGCAGTCTTGGCACAATGCACACATCTGGCTATCACCCAAGCTCTTCTCACTACCAGCTGGGCATCTATGGGCATACCACTTAACCACAAGGAGCTTTAGTTGCCTCCTGAGTTTGAACTAGATCAGTAATTCTCAAATCTTGGTGTATTTGGAGGGAGTGGGGGAGAGGGCCAGAGGGAGTATTTAAAAATGAAAATTCATGGGGGTGCCTGGGTGGCTCAGTCGGTTGAGTGTCCGACTTCGGCTCAGGTCATGATCTCAAGGTTCGTGGGTTCGAGCCCCGCATCAGGCCCTGTGCTGACCGCTTGCTCACAGCCTGGAGCCTGTTTCAGATTCTGTGTCTCCCTCTCTCTCCGCCCCTCCCCCATTCGTGCTCTGTCTCCATCTCGAAAATAAACATTAAAAAAAATTTTTTTTAAATGAAAATTCATGGGCTCCAGATTCAGAGATTCTGACTCAGTAGACCTAAGGAAGGGTTCAGAAATCTGTATCTTTAAGAAGCACCCCACTGTGGACCACACTTTCAGAAACACTGGACTAATTCCAGCACTAATTTTCTAACATTCTGTGAATCTGTCCTTTCTTGGGTGACCGATCATCTTGAGCAGCCTGGAACTCCTCAGTGTCTGACTCCCCTTGGCACAATGGTACCAGCCAGAGGGAGGGCATGTCAGCACGTGCAGGCTAGCCTAGGGAAGGCAACAGACTTGACTGGGTTGTCGGGGGAAACACTAACATCCTTGTCTCTGATGCTCAGGTAACAGGTGGAGTCTGGACTTTCAGCCGAATTTGCTGTGATGTTTTCGTCACCCTGGATGTCATGATGTGTACAGCCAGCATCCTGAACCTCTGCGCCATCAGCATCGACAGGTAGAGCTTGGATTCCCCTTCTACCAGGTCTAGGCTGCCAGGTGGTGTGGGAAACCAGCCTGGGAAAGCTGCTTCTGCTATATTTGAGGCCCAGGCTTTGCACTTGAGGACACTGGGGTCACTGTCAAGTAGAACTTACCACTTAGGACATCTCTCTCGTTTTCTTTTAAACTAATGTTTGCAGAAGAGAAGAAACCCCTGTGGCAGGAGAAAAGTAATTATCCTATAGCTTTCCTAGCCTTTCCTTCTTCCTAGACCCCTAAAGAGGATTCTGGTTTTGCCTTCCCACCATCCTCTGGGGTTTTTGTGATTTCTAATTGGGAGAAAAGGGAGAGCAGGACACAGACAAAAAAGGTGAGCTGACAAGACTTTGGAGGAAAAATTTCCCATTATTTGTTGTTTGTTTTTGATGAAGAGGTAGGAGAAAGAGGAAAAGAGAGAGGAGAGCGAAATGCTTGGGAGTATTTGCAAGGAGGGAGAGAAGAGAGAAGTGTATGGGGAGAAAGGCGATTTTAGGCATTGTGGCTACGATCTATTTATTTCCTTCGTGGAATATAAGGAAAACAAGGAAACAGTGATGTTTTTAGAATTGCTTTCTGGTTGGTGGAGTGGATTTCTGTGATTGTGAGTCACCTCGGTGCATGTCCCAGCTAAGCAGCCTCGCTTTCCCTACCGAAGAGTGCCCAGCCCTGGCCTTAGGAGCCTCTGTTCCTCACTTCTCCTCTCCTTTTGTTTCCTCTCCTCTTTCCCTTTTCCCCTGCCTGGGCCTTGGACTCGCTCATGGCTCCCATGGACATCTCCAGGCCCACAGGGGGCCCTGGGGAAAGGAGCTTGCTCTCCAGCCCACAGCCTCTGTTGCCGCGCAAGAGCCTCCAACCTTCCCTTCTCTGAGTCCCCTCCCACCTCCCTCCTCTTCCATCCTTTCTCCCTCCTATACCCTTTCTCCCAGCAAAACCATCCACTCACTCCCAAACAAACTCTGCCAATCACTGAGAATCTACCATACTGGACTAAGGCTTTAATGTGCACTAACTCACTTCATCTTCACAACTCAGCTGCTATTATTATCTTCATTTCCGGGCTTCTGAATGGAATTAAGGAATTTGCCTAAAGTCACACCCCTAGTACAGAGCAGTGCCAGCATTTGAATTCATGTCTGACTCCAAGTTCATAATCTTAGGCTTTGTGCTAAGCCTCCTCAAATCGCCAGCTACACCCCTAATACTTCCCCTGAGTTTCAAACCACATTACCACCTAGATACCTCACTGGCTCCTTCAAGGCCACACGTTAAAAGCCAAACCATCAAACCATCAAAGAACCAAAACCATCTTAATCTGATCATCCCTTATTGGCAACATCATTGCCTTACAATCTCAGTTTTGTTCGACTCCTCTCTCTTCTTCATCTCCCACATCTAAGCACTCAAGGCTTACAGACTCCATTTTTGCCATTTTCCCCCAAATTTGCCCCTATCTTTCCTTTCTTACTATGCCTGCTTATTTTAGGTTCCTATGACCTCTCCCCCAGTCTTTTGCCACAGCCTCCTGACTGGTCCTGCACACCACTCTCAGAATTACTCTCCCCAGAAGTAAAGTCCAAACATCCATTACCCTACTCACAACCCTTCAGCCTCTCCTTGGCCTGTGAAATAAATGTTAAAACTACCTTCACAGCCTAGGATTCAAAGTTTTCTACAATACGGCCTCTGTCTATCTTTTCAATTTCATCACTTTCTGGGTTGCCCTGCCTAAGTTCCTCTTTTGCTTCAAGGTCTACCACACTTGTCAATTTCTACAAACTTGATTCAGTTACCCCTGAACTCTCATAGCGCTTTTTCTGTAACTACGCTAGAGGATCTAAAGCAGGTCCTTCTCATTTCCCTGTGTTGGACATTTGCACCACCCAGGGTTGTGCCCTCCCTATCAACACCCTAAACTCCCTTTCATGGGCTGAAATGGGAATCTTGAACAGTGACCGAAGAATGGATGTGAAAACCCCTCCCTGTAGTGACACTGCAGGCCAACCAGTCAACTGGATAGTCTTTTGTCTTTATCCTTTGATTGGCTATCCACCTGAGAAGGAAAATTAAAGAAGATGTCCATATAGCTGGGACTCCCACCATTAAAGAATGTATTTCAAAATCAAGGGAGATAGTTGCATAATGCTATAAATATACCCCCAAAACATTGAATGGTACACATTGAATTATGTGGCATGCGACTTATATCTTGATAAAGCTGTTTTAAAATGAAGGGATAGTTGGGGATTTTATAATATTTTTAGGTCTCTGAGAACAGAACTCTTGTAAGTCTTTTGTGTGATTTCTGGCCATTTAGTACCTAAATATATAATTTACATAAGTAGCAGGCTGCATCTAGTTTGCTATATCATCACCTCCACTTCCCCAAACTCTTATACTAGTCCTAGTTCCTTATCACTGTGAGTCTCCCTGCTGCGCCTATTACAGACCTTGAACAAAGAATATTAAACCAAACTGAGCGGTCTTTGTCTGAGGGTAGCCAACGTTTATAGCACAAATGTGTACCTTCAGAAAGAACATGAGAGAGTGGGTGAAGAGCAGAGCAGGGAGCTTCTTAGAAGAGGCTCTGGGGCAGCCCCCTCCTTGCCTCTTGGCTCCTGACCCTACTCTCCACCCTCTTAAGAGTGTGCCTACACACTCCATCCACACACATTCACAAGCATGGGGCTGGCAGGTGAGGTTGTACAGGTTGTGCCCTGCACAAGCGTTTGGGAACTGAATTCAACCAGTGTTTCTTTGCAAATCTTGAGTCGGCCAGGAGAGGGGGCCTTTTCCTAGCCTGCACAAGAGCACCATTGCACTGGCAGCAGCCACGCTTGACAGACACTTCTACTTTTCACCACTTTCACAACCAAAAGGATAAACCTTGAATTGGCTCTGTCCCATAGGGGACAACTCCCAGAAGGCGTTGCCCTCACTACCTGAAATCTGAGGAACAAGTCATGCCTTAGACTCCAACAGAGAAGGATGCTTTCTTCTTGGCTGGTACATCTACATGAACCAATCCTCACCAAAACTCAAGATGGAGGCTCCTCTCTATTCCAGGAATGAAAACAGGCCTTGGAAAAGCTGTCTCCATCATCCTTCATGGCAGTGTGCAGTACACAGCATTAAATTCTGTTCATGTGATGCCAAATCACTGGTCAATTCATTAAAAATGCAGTCATTCATGCAGACCTTTGGTCTTCACACAATGCTAGTCACCAGTCTGACAAACTTGACCGAATGGATTCAGCATTTTTTGGCCATGAAGCCCTGCTATGTAATAACAGGGTAGTAAGAGATAGGAAAGAAAAGGAAATGATAAAAAGGGGTTTTGAAAGCAAGTAATACTATTGTCATTAGATTCTCAGGCATAGCCCTGGATGCTTGGATTAATGCTGCCTTTTCTTCTTTAAAAAGCACAAACCCCTACTTACCCCCCCCCCACCCCTCCTTGGCTCCTTGCCTCCCCAGGGGACCAGCCCCCTCCCGCAGCATCCTGGGTCAGAACTGACTCTGGGAGAGGGCTGAGAAAGTGTCAGAGGAGGAGGACACGTTCTGAGTGGTGAGAATTAGAGTCCTCCGCTAGGGGCCCAGGAATAATGCAACCAAATTCATTCACCAGGGAGTTCTTTAAGTGGCTCTCAAATGGCACCCATCACACAGGCAAGCCTCCGCGTCTTTGCAGCAAGCACAATAGGTACCAGATGAGTCACAGGCACCTTGGATTTTTAGTTTGCATCTAAATAAGTACTTTATATTTGCAAAGGGCTTTCCAGTCATTTGCAAAAAGCTTTCTCCTTCAACAATTTCAGGAGGGGAGTCCACAGAACTAAAGATTTATTGAGACCCCTGTCTGACCAAATAAAAGGTGGTGAAAAGCAGCCCTCACAGAGCTCTGGGGCTCATTAAACCCAGGCAGGGAGTTAGACTCAGGCCCTCCCACCCAGACCAGTCTCTTTCCTCCCCCACTCTGCACGCCAGCTTCCTGAGGAGGCACCTTCATCAGTGCCCCCACACATACCTCCTGCCTTAGGACGGGGCTTCAGGTGGAGGTCACGTTCTGCCAGGATCCTGAGAGCTTCAGCAGAGTGAGGAGCCTACAAAGCCCAGTCACAGAACTGGGAGTCAGAAGGGGCATCGTAGTTTAACTCCTTTGTGCAGAAATGTTACATGCTTGTAGGGGCTCCCGCAGCCTCTTCGGTCTGGGACTAGAACTGGGGCCTCCTGACTCCCCCACCAGTACTCTATTATAATGAGCCACCCCTTCACTGGTGGAAGTAGGGATGGGACATCAAGAGCAAAGCTTCTGGCCATGCTGCCTCTGGCAGCCCACTGCAACTTGGAGTAAAAGAGGCATATCTCCTATGTCTTCAGTGCCCTGGCTGCTCCGTGCTAATCTCAAATAGCTACCACTTGTGCAGAATGTACTGTGTGCCACGCTAAAAGCTTTTCATTATTGCTAACCGTCACAACACCCCAGCGAGACAGGTGTATTATCCACTCTTTACAAGTGAACAGTCGGAGGCTAGACTGTGTAGTCTGCTCACACCACACCGCTGGTAGGTGCAGGAGTAAGGATCCAGTCACACGCTTTCTTCTATAGCACACTGCCCTGCGCAGAGGCGCCTAGCCACACTCTGGGCCCCTTAGCTCCGGGGCCCCACTGCCTGGCTACAAATCCTGGCCCTACCACCTAATAGCAATGTGGCCACCGGCCAGTCAGTTACCCTCTCTGGGCCTCTGTTCCCTTATCTGTTTAGTGGAGATCATAGTAACACAGTTATTACAAGAATCAAATGAGTTAATATTTGTAAAGCACTTCAAACAGTTGCCTAGCACATAGAAAGTGTTATATATATTTGTTTGATAAATAATGTTCCCTTTAATGTTCCCAGGAACAAGGGGAAGATACCCGTAAACTCATCCATATGAATAATCACAGATTCTTTGGGCTAGCACAATACTATGACAATAATAATAATAATAATAATAATAATAATAATGGGGCTTTTTAAATGTTGAATAGGTACCAGGCATTGTGCTAAAAGACTTGACTTCACAGAGATAATCTTATTTAGTGTTCATAACCGCCCTATCGGGCTGAATCATTATCCCCAATGTACACATAAGGGAATTGTATCTCGGAGAAGCCAAATTCTGGCCCGTGGCCACACAGTTAAGTGGAAGAACTGGGATTCAGACGCTTATCAGTCTTGTTTCCGACCGCCACGGACTTAACCCCCTTACACACTGCCAGTGCTCCAGCCACGCCGGAAAGAGCCCGGTGAACTAGGCGCTGAAACAGGAGGAGGCGAGGAAGCGAGGTGGCGCGCAGAGTCGCCCTGGAACAGCTCGGTGAGCGCAGCGGCCGCACTTAGAGACAGCCCAGGCCCGCCAACTGCTCGCGTCTACGTCCAGCCCTGCCCTCGCTGCCGGCCGTCACCTGCGGCCGATTCGGGAGGAGACTCGCTGTGGAGCAGCCTACCCGGGTGGGAATTCTGGGCCGCCGCAGGCCTCCGAGAACTTGCAGAGCCGAGCCTTCCCCGCCCCCCTGCCTCCCCACGGGGTCCGGAACGCCACCAGGTGAGCCGTGAACTTCTCACCCTGCCGCGCTGGCAGTTCTCGCTGCATTATGGTGCCCTCCGATGGCTAGTTTCGGAACAGCACCTTTGTCTCGGTCACCCGCAACAGGCTTCCTGGCGGAAAACCCTGCAGGCGAACTTGGGGGCCTCGTTTATTCCAGAAGTTTAATCGTGTTTAAAAAATAATACCCCCCCCCAAAAAAAAGTAACATAACAGTGGTAAATGTAGCGTCGTCTCTCACTTCTTAACCGTTACAAGAATTTCTGACGGAAATTTTCCTTGGTGCAGACTTCAAACTTGTCTAATTGTAAGACACACTTGCTTGTTCAAAATGCACATTTAGGGTGTCTGGGTGACCCAGTCGGTTAAGCCTTGGACTCTTGATCTTAGCTTAGGTCTTGATCTCAGAGTCTTGAGTTCAAGCCCCGGATAGGCCCCACGATAGGTAGGGGTGCATTTAAAAACGCGCATTTCTGGGTTCCACTCTGGAAGTACTTAATTAAATTAGCCTGGGGCCTGGGAATCTGTATTTTAACAGGAGCGCTGCCCCACCGCACCCCTGCCCGTAATTAATAGAATCAAACTAATTGGGGAAAATTCTGGGAATCCCACATGCTCTCGAATAGAATGCCGCCTTTCCTGAGGAAGCCCTTTTCCCCACAAGGCCTCAGAGACTTGACAGTGCCCTTGAGAGGAAGTGGGGCACACCAGAGAGACACTGGCCTCAGCGGTGGGAGACCTGGCTCTTCCACGACCAGCTGTGGGATCTTGGGTTCATCATGCAACCTCTCTATGTCTCTGATTCCTCCTCTAGAAAATGGAGCCAGCATTCCCCACACTTCTTGAATTAACAGGAGCTTCCAAGGAGTTGCTGAACATTGAAGCATACCTAGGAAAATGCTCAGCGGCATGCCTGGAGCCAGCTCCTAATAGCTGGCAAGAGCTGAAAGGGCAACATTTTAAGAATTTTTGAACCAGTTAGTAAACCTTTGGTGTGGCTTGAAATGGGCAAAGGTGGGAGTACTTCTACCATGGAAATTGACAAATGGTACAAATTAGGGCTGTTTCCACCTGGAGAGCCAGGCTCTTTTTTATCAAAAGACATTATGTAAAAAGAAGGCCCCAGGACCAACTGCTGGTCTAGAGAGGAGGAAGTTGGTCACACCTCTCCTACCCAGCTCCCAACAGCTGTTTTCAAGGCTCAGTCTTTCTTCCAAGGTGCCTCAGGGATCACTGCTGAGGGCCAGACATATTTGACTCAAAGCCCCAGCCCACTGCCCTGAGTCCAAAGCCCTGAGGAGAGCAAGAAGCCTAGAGGAACACGAGGTACTACAGGCCTGCTCCCTGATCGCCAAGTTAGGGATTCCAGGCAGGATTTATAATGTCTGTGCATCAGAAGAGGGGAACTGAGTTCCTACAGGCCTCCCTTGGGGTTGATGGTGGGATCTTAATTTGAACTTATTAAATAAGGACCTCTATTTCTCCTTCTTGAGAAAGGAGCCACTTCTGTCACATATCATGGTACCAAGGCCAAGTCCTGCAGAGTCTGCCTCCATCTCAGCCCTCAGAGCTGACTCTCAAGCAGCTCTTGTGGGAATGCAAATGTAACACATGAACTCCAAGGCCAGGTGCACCAGGAGCTGATGATTTAGGCAGGCTGGCACAGAGAGGAGGAGCTTTTGTGCCCCACCCCCTCCCACCCAGGGGCTGTTCTCCCCTTCCTTGAGACACACAAGGGAGCTAAGGAGGATCCTACCCTGAATCTGGCCTCTATGTTCCCTGGACACTGAGAACACAAAGAAAACTTAAGCCTCTATGGACACAGAAATGCACACTGGATTCCTTGAGCCTGACTAGAATTAGAATTGTCCTCTCATGTGGAAGGCCTTCAGAATCCACAAGACAATCAATCAACAGCTTCTTCCTACTTGCTTTGTGTAAGGACCTATAAGGAATACCAAGGCTATAAAATGATTTGGCCATCAAGTAACAAATCATTTGGGAGCTATCTCTCTCCAACCCTGAGGCAGGCAGTTGTCTGGTCTCATTAGTGAACTTGCCCAATCCCTTTTAAGGCTGATTAAGCCAGGCCCACCCAGGATAATCTCTCTTTTGAATAACTCAGTCTATTGATTAGTAATCCAATCACAGCAGTGACATCATGTCCTATTCTCAAGTTCAGTCTACATTCAACTTTGGGGATTGTACAGGGCAGAAATTCTGCCTTTCTCAGTTTCCAGCTGGGGGGTCAGGGATGGGGAGGACATGATTAAATTTCCTTTTAGAACCTGGCAGAAGAGACCTGCAGGAGGCTGTGGCCATCACAGAAAGCAGCTGGTAGGAAAGAGATGCATGGATAAATGGGGAAGACATAGTAAGCAAATGTATAGGACCTGCTATGTTTCTGCTAAGTAGCTGGAAATGTGTGAGAGGAGTTGCCACAGAAAAGACGATGTCCAATAACACAAAGAACTGTGTATTAACCATGCAAGAGCCTTTGCTGTAGACTGAATGTCTATGTCTCCCCCAAATTCGTATGTTGTAATCCTAACCCCCAAAGTGATGGTATTAGGAAATGAGGCCTTTGGTGATGATTAGGTCATGAAGGTAAAGCCCTCAGAAATGAGATTAATGCCGTTAGAAAAGAGACCCCAGATCACTCCTTTGCCCCTTCAGCCACGTGAGGACACAGTGAAAAAATAGCCATCAGTGAACAAGGAAATGGGCTCTCACCAGACAATGAATCTGCCAGTGCCTTGATCTCGGACTTCTCAGCCTTCTGACCTGTGAAAAATAAATGTTTGTTGTTTAAGCCACTCAGTCTATGCTATTTTTGTTATGGCAGCCTGAATGGACTAAGAGCATGAAAACTGGATTTTGAAATAAGCCTTCACTAGATATTACTCATCTCTATTTTTTTTTTAATTTTTTTTTCAACTCATCTCTATTTTTTTTAAAATGTCTGCCACTTGAAATAGTTGTCACTATGAGGGTCAGAATTTATATTAGGATACAAGCAGGGGTGAACAGCCTCTTTGGGCACAGTTTAGCATTACCTGAAAAACTGTGGGAGAAAGTAAAGGCACGCGGACCAGTACCCAGAGTCTAGGGTTAGGGTACATGAATACAAGGCTCAGGTATGCTGGTCCTCAACCGCCACTGGCAAACAAGCTTTCCAGCCGCCCAGTCTGTTGCTTTACTCACTTTTTTCTTCTTTCTCCCTTTCCCTGCTCAGTGGGTTCATCTCTGTTATCTCAGCCTTTCTGCATTTTTACTCAAATAAGCTTTCTCTCTTCCTCCAACCAAACTGTTTCTCTCCTGCCACATGTATCACCCACATTAGTTCTCTACGAGCCTCTGTCAACTTGTCTTTTGAACAATCCCCCCATCCCTTCTCATCATGTTTATCCTCTCTCCCCTTCTGTTCACAGGTACACTGCAGTGGTCATGCCAGTCCACTACCAACATGGCACAGGACAGAGCTCCTGTCGGCGTGTGGCCCTCATGATTACAGCCGTGTGGGTACTAGCCTTTGCCGTGTCTTGCCCTCTCCTCTTTGGCTTCAACACCACAGGTAAAAATGATGGTCCCTCTTACAACACCCATGTGATTCATAGCACGCCTGAGTGGCTATCAGTGGTACTTAGCCTGGAAATTTCTGACCCTGATCAGCATACTTTGTAATCAAATAAGGATACCATAGGCTGCAATGTTTTGGATTTTGATTAAAGCATAAAGCAAAATCTCATCACTTATTGGCACATGAAGTTCTGCCCGAGTTAGTGAAAACTCTAGCATATCCTTATTTTGAAAGAAATGATATTGTATTCATTTGAAGCAATGTGCCAGTTAACAAATTAAGCTATTTAGTAATTCAGATGAAGTTTGCTAATGAAAAAATGACAATTCATAATGGGCTTACAATGCAAAATAATGCTATAAAATGCTGTAAAATAATGCATTAAATAAATGCTATAAAATAATATTTATTTTATAAAATAAATGCTATAAAATGCTATAAAATTGCCTTGTGGATTCTGAAGGCCTTCCACATGAGAGGACAATTCTAATTCTAGTCAGGCTCAAGAACTATATTTCTAATTTTTTACTGAATAAAAATCATTTCTGGCATTTGAGAGCTAGTATAGATCCCTAAATTATTTGACAGTATATTCCTATATCTTAATATACAAAAATTCTGGCCATGATGGTTGGCACATGGTACATCTTCTATTGGATGGACAGATGGATGGATGGATGGATGGATGGATGGATGGATGGATGGACATGTGGATTAACAATGTGAATATCTGAGATGTTTGGTTTTTAGACGTAAGACCCTGATCCAAATCTATGCCTCATAGGGGTCAGTCTTCTTTCGCTGTTCCATGTCCATCTTTCAGCCTCAGGAATTTCATGTGTTGAATGAAAACTATTAGCATATACAGTAAGGTTACAGGTATTGATAATAAACACTGAGTATTTGCTAAAAGAGAACTAATTGAGTCATGTTTTAGTGTTCACCTGGAATTCTTATTTTGTCCATTTGGATTGATTTAAGTCCTACTATCTTCTAAGATCATTAATTTCTGGTATATATGTACAAATCACATAGCTGTGTATTTATATATATACAGATATTATATGTAACACATTGCATATAATTACAGGCAAATCCTAACTTATAAATAGTCATCAAAGAGTCATTTGCTGACCAATAATTTAAAAGTCAAAACAGGGCACCTGGGTGGCTCAGTTGGTTAAGCGTCCAATTCTTGATTTCAGCTCAGGTCATGATCTCATGGTTCATAAGATCAAGCCCCGTGTCAGGCTCTATGCTGACAACATGGAGTCTGCTTGAGATTCTCTCTCTCTCTCTCTCTCTCTCTCTCTCTCAAAATAAATATGTAAACATTTTTTAAAAATTGAAAAAAAATAAAATAAAAGTCAAAACACATTTAGGAAAACAGAGGCTCTAGAATTAGAAAAACCTACATTCAAACTTCAATTCTACTACTTACCAGCTGTGTCTCCTTGAACAATCTACTTAACTTTTCTAAGTTTTCATATTGATAAATTTGGGATACACTGAAGCATAAACTTAAGCAAATTGAAATATATAGACTGAGTCTATATACTCAGTCAGAAAGTTACCAGCATTTATTTGTATATATGGCCTCTTGCAAATAAACCTAGTAACTTCATTTCTAAAATTGCATGCTGTGTTTGAACTCTTTAGAATACATATATGACATATTAATGTATGTATCACACATCTTTACTTACTGCTCTTCAGGGCTGTAATAAAACCATGTATATCTTTGTATGTGATTCAGGAGATTTTTCAAAGCAAATTTCAGCTCTATATAATGTTCATTTTCATCACTGACCTTAGACTCTGACACTACATGTGATATAATTCCACTCTCCTTCCTTCATAAAGCTTTTCTTTTTATGATTAAGTCAAGAATAAATTGGAATAACATACATAGAGCTGCCAAACACACACTGCATGCTCAAGGTCAGGCTTCTTTCTCTGCTTCATTAAAGGTTAAGCAGCTGAATCATCCAACAAATATTTGCCTAGTTAACTCAAGGTGTTCCTAAAATACGATGTTACTATCATGTTTGCATTACTCTTTACCATTAGTTACTTTGTTGTTTTCACTGAATGACACTTTATACACACAAACATGGTTGTGGACACACATTTACTCCCCAAAGCAACATTCCCTAACCCAACTCTAAGAGTCTGCCTGGCATTAAAATACTATTTTTGAGGGGCGCCTGGGTGGCTCAGTTGGTTAAGCATCCAACTTCGGCTCAGGTCATAATCTTGCAGTTTGTGGGTTCAAGCCCCACGTGGGGTTTGACAGCTCAGAGCCTGGATCCTGCTTCGGATTCTCTATCTGCCTCTTCCCTGCTCATGCTCTGTCTCTCTCTGTCTCTCAAGAATAAATAAATGTTAAAAAAAAATTAATAAATAAAATGATATTTTTGATGAGTGTTAAATGTGCTTTTTGGGTTAGTCTGATAACTAAACCACCCTCTATAACCTACTTTCTATACAAAAATACATTATTCTAAGTTGGAATTTGTAGTATGGGATCTCACAACCACTGCTAGACGAAGGCACTGCTTGCCCCTGGCCAGCAGCAAATCCCCACCACCATTCACTCGGGTGAGTGGTTCCTCTTACTCATTCATGGGGGTTGGCGGGGGCTGTTTTACTCACTCCCACAGATACACACACCCTAGTAACAGTTAAAACAGTCTCAAGCTCTGACGTTAGACAGAGTTCCCAGTTAATGACTACATCTAAAGTGCAGAAGAATGATGAGCTAATTGGTGTTGTCACCAGTGAGATCATTATTATTCCAGAAACAAAATTCAGAAAAATCTTTCCAAAAGGATTTTCAAATATAGAATTAAGAAGGCAGAAAATGCCCATGACTTAACACGTACACTCTCACTTCTGTCTCATCTCTTTCAATCTCTCTCACTTTTTTTTAAGTACATGATTTATTCTATTGCAAATTTTTTTTAAGTTTCTTTTTTAATTTATTTTTGTTTTAGTAATCTCTATATCCAATGTGGGGCTCGAACTCACCAACCCAAGATCAGGAGTCACATGCCCTTCTGACTGATCCAGCCAGGCGCCCTGCTCTCTCTTACTTTTAAGTTTATTAATAAGACGATAGTCAGCCCTCCACTTATTCATGTATCACATCCAAGCTTCAGGTTCATTGTAAGGGCCCAATGGATATGAGCTAATGCTATTGTTGTTATTATTGTGTATTAGAAAAGGTTTCTATACATCAAAATTTAACTATGCACCTGCTCCAAAGAAAATCTAAGCACTAGTAGTTCTGCTGGTGGACATAGAGACCAGTCACCTCATCCTAGAGCACAGTTCAGGGAATTAGTGAGCAGAACTCAAAGGGAGGAAGCCCAGCTGTCCTTCTCTGCCTCAGCCTGACCTTCACAGTACAGTTTCATTATTGTGATGGATGTGGGTTCCTCTAGCACCTCTTCCATCTATAAGGAAGTTCCCAAGTTCATTCGAAAGCCCAATATAAATGACTTCTCTCGGCCATTTTTTCTACTCACCCTGTGAAAAGTAGAGGAGAAAAGGGCAGGATACTGCCAATGACACCTGATATTGGAAGTGGCTGGATTTTCACTAAGAACTGCAACACAAAAGAACTTTCTGGCAAAGCGGTTTTTTTAATGTTTATTTATTTTTGAAAGAGAGAGACAGAACATGAGTGAGAGAGGGGCAGAGAGAGAAGGAGACACAGAAGCTGAAGCAGGCTCTAGGCTCTGAGCTGTCAGCACAGAGCCTGATGCTAGGCTCAAGCCCACGAACTGTGAGATCGTGACCTGAGCTGTAGTCGGATGCTCAACTGACTGAGCCACCCAGGTGCCCCTGGCAGAGCTCTTTTTAATGAAATAGGCTGCTATATGAGATTGTGAATTGTCAGACAACACAAGGCAGAAAAATGTTGAACATCAGTTTCTTCCATCTTGGAGTTGTCCTCATTGTACGAGAAAAGAGCAACATGCATTTCTGGATAAGAAATAAGGCAGGATCTTGGGTTGCAGAGAGTCCCAAGGTTGGGGGTCCTGGCTCACTAGAGTTGCCCCAGCTCCCCACCGAGACCCAGCAGTCTAGCTGAAATTCCCATCATTGACAGCAGTGGAGCAGAGAGTGGTGGCTCTAGAGGAAACTCTAAAAATCTCTGAATGGGCAGCACAATCCCTTCATTTCACAGATAAAAATAGTGGTCTTAAATTTCCTTCAAAACAAGGAAATGAAGGACTGCTATCTAGATTTGAGCAGCAGAACACCTCATCTGGCTTTCAGAACACGGGAGCTGGTGGGATCCCAGATGAGAAACCCAAAACTAAAAGAATAATAGACTCATCCTAAATTCAGATGCATCAGGCTCTTCCGTCTTTGGAAACAAGCTGAAGACAAAGCCTTCAATTAGCTTTAAGTTTATGAACCTGTCAAGACAACCTGCTTCCAGCCCTGCCCTTCACACCTCTGTGGGACTCAGGTTCCCAGGCTAGCTCACAAAAGCCTCTTTGACCACTTAGTAGGGCTACTTAGTGTTTTTATCACCCAGCATGGTGCCTAGAACATAGTAGGTGCTCCATATACTTTTTTTGAAATAGGAAGTTGATGAGTGCTTATCATCCTTTCCTCCTTAAATGTTGAAATTATTTGGGGTAAATATCGTCAATCACATTATGAGGCTTTCCCCTCTATGCTCCAGCCAATGACTGCTTCTGTGCTCCTGCAAAATGCTCATTTGTCTGCTTTGCTCATATATTCATCATTCTTGGATTCACCCAATAGTTATTGTACCAACAGCACAGTACTATTTCAATGAAATAATTGAGACAAAGCACCTCATCTCCTGGGGGAGAGGACTCACTGTCCTCACCACCTCATCTGGGACTCAGCAGAGAGAAGCTTCCAGAAATGCTGCCCCACTGACAAGACATACACTCAGGCCAGACCCAATGGGAGTTGGGGCAGGGCCCCATTCACTGTTCACCATAGTGTCACTCTGCCCACTGACAGGCTTCACAGGACTTCAAGCATGGAGAAATTGTGGGAGAGGTCTCAAAGCCTAATCTAGGGACAGGCAGCAGTTTATCCAGATAGGAGAGAAAGGACAGGATGACAGTGCAGGCTCAGTGATGGTATACTGAGGGTCTTCAGGGGTCAGTGATTCTGAAATAGCTCTGTGTTTTCTCTTTGCTCTTTCTCATGCATATGCTTTCAATATTTTTAATGGGAAAATAAATTCTTGCCCATGGTAAAACATAAAGTGCGAGGGAATATATATACACATACATATATGTAGGTCTCCCTTCTGCCCTAGATTGGTAGCTGCCCTGTGACCCTCCCTAGAAGCAAACACTAGTAATCTTAAAGACAATGCTTGAAACAAGTATGTAGGCACACACATGTGTGTGTCCATGTGTGGGTATATCCATTTTTCCAAAAATAGAAGCATACTTATACCCACTTTTGCTCCTGGCTTTTAAGAGCCTCTGCATATGAGGTAGGATGTGAACTGAGACATGATGAGGGAGTGGGGGGTGCTGGGAAGCCCTGCTTCCCAAAGCTCTGTGTGGATTAGATGGTGGAGACGCCACACAAGATATGAGACCATATTGTACACTCCCCACTGATGTCTCCTACTTGGCAAACTGCTTTGCTTTCTCCTTTTCTCTCACTCACAGGAGACCCCACCGTCTGCTCCATCTCCAACCCTGATTTTGTCATCTACTCTTCAGTGGTGTCCTTCTACCTGCCCTTTGGAGTGACGGTCCTTGTCTATGCCAGGATCTATGTGGTGTTGAGACAGAGGAGACGGAAACGGATCCTCACTCGACAGAACAGTCAGTGCATCAGTGTCAGACCTAGCTTCCCACAACAAGTAAGCACCCTGGAGGGACAGAGGAGAAACAGTCCCCAGCCTGGTGGCCTCCAGCCTTGTGTCCAGCAGGATATGCTTTTGCCATACTGCCCCTCAGGAGACACACATCTGACACCCACCTTCTAATCCGCTGGGATTAGCTATGCTTTAGAGTAGGAAATTAAATCAAAAAGTACACTGCTAGTCTTCCTTGGAGCTCATATTGCTTGGCAATATTATAGGATGGTTTCTGGACTTCTCCTTTCCATCAGAGTTTTTCATTGCTCCCAAATGGCCAGAAGTTCAAATGTCACACAGGATTCGCAGTCTTAGTGTGCAGTTGTCCCACGCACCACTGGTAGGTCCCCAGGACTGACTTTTTAGCAGACATCTTATTCTAAGAATCACTGGGGTCCACGGAAACCTCTTTTCCTTACTAGATCTGCCCCTGTGTCAAGATGCTGCCCAGCTTGTGAAATGGAAAACTGATGATGTGTTTTATGGGGCCTTTCAAGGTCCTGAAAAGGAGAGCTACCTCAGCACTGATCTTCCATTTGCTTGAGCTATAAAGCCTACTTATCCCAGTGTCTGGCACAAGATGTACTTGAAGCATAAATGGATGGATACCAGTCACTTGCAATCTGCTAAAGAAGGGGTAGCAGGAATATTATACGGCCTCTGCCTTCATGGAGTTTAGAATCCAGACAAGCAAATAAAGCACACCTCCCTCCACTCAAAGTTAACTAACAGCCCCAAACTGGATGCGATGTTTATGAACTGAGATGAAGACAATTAAGCACCAAAATATAAGTGCTGTGGAGGTTATGAGAAAAGAGAGGTCAATATGCTTAGGAAAGGGCTTCATAAACAGAGTAAGAACTGAATTTGATCTTGAAGGCAGGTCCAATTTGGATGTTTAGATTAACCTACAATGACCTGAGTGAGAGTCAGTCTCTCAAAGTTGAAATTCCAAGACTTGGGTAGAACAAGAATATTGGTCCCCATGAAATAAGAGGTAAGGACATGAGACTGAGGATAGGAACATATTATATTTCAAACATTGGCATCTATATGGCTCAACCATGTAGAACTTAACCTACAGCTTTTTCTCCTTCAACCTACCCTAGTCTTCCTGTCTGAGGCTGCACCCCATTCGGCAGTTTTCAATAAGGGACAGATTTCCATCAGATGCCACGGGGCAAATGGTAAGTAAGCCATGGCTTTGATTATAGGAGAAGAATAGGATACCTTTTCTCAAGATGCTGACTTGACTTTCTTCCACTTCCACCCCAGAATGGACTGGCCCCAATCCCTTACTTGTTAATAAATATGAGATCCTGATTTGAGCTCCAGAATAGGAATCTCCAAATGATATTCAGAAAGCATATCACTATGGAGATAGATCCCAATGACTAGAGCCACTGACTCTTGGCGTGGTGTGAGGATGTCATCCAGAGTCACCTGCCTAGAGGGAACAGGGTATCAATGAAGCATACATGGGCAGAGCCAAAAAAGCAGAGAAGAGATGCTAATGTGAGACTTTCAAGTGTTCTGTTTCCCACTGTATATGGGGGAAAACCAAGACAATTTTGTGGTCACCCCTATCCTTGTCCTTTTACTTCAATCCAGCCCTGCCTTCCCAAGTAAGCTGAGCACAGAATGGAGCTGTTAAATAGAAGATCAATATTCCTCTCCCTGAACTCCAAGTAAACATTAGGAATAACATTTCAAAACCTCATAATGATGAAGGTCTGAGCTTTGTCCAATCTCTGTATAGTTAATTAACCACTTTTTACACATGCCTGGTATAGCAGATAGAGATTCTTGCTGTAAATAATTTTTTAAAAATAGGCAAGAATTTTAAAGTTGCCTATAGCAGATCTAAGGTCTGAGGAGACTCTAAGGCCAAAAGGAAGAAAAGCAGTAACTTCTAAAGAGAGAATGGAGAGCCAAGAGGCTGGCATTGCCAGGAGTATGGAGAAACAGGTCCTGTCCTACCACCTGGGAGTGGAGGTCTCTGTCAGCCAGACCCAGAGGAATCCAGTGTTTCTTCATGCCAGTCATGACGGTAGTGATGAGCATTTGCAGAGAGCTGAAAAATACACTCACCAATATATATGCTTGAAAGGATCACTTTGCTTCTTCAGAACTGAGTTTTCACATCTGTAAAATAGAGACAAATTATACTAGATCAATGTTCTCAAACCTGAGATTTCATAATACTCAAGAATTTGTCCCCAGTCCTTTAGTTTCAGAAGTAATGCATTTGAAGTTAAATATTGTCACTTTTAGATTACTAGATGCCAGCACAATCATAATATTGGTTATAAATGGCCATTCAGATAAAAACACAATATGCCTAGGGCACCTGGGTGGCTCAGTCAGTTGAGCATCAAACTCTTGATTTCGACTCAGGTCAGGATCCCAGGGTCATGGAATTGAGCCCTGGGTTGGGCCCCATGCTGAGCGTGGAGTCTGCTTAAGATTCTCTCTCTCCCCCCTCTGCCCTTCTCCCCCACTTGTGCTCTCTCTATATATATATAAAATAAATTTTAAAAATTAAAAAAACACAATATGTTTATATGAATTATTTTAAAACCCCATCAAAAATTTTTAAATTATGTTATACTAGAATCCCTATGAACACCTCTATGGAGCAGAGTTTTAAAAACACTGTATCATATTAAAGGCCTATTGCATTCATTCATTCAGCAATGTTTCTGAGTGTGTACAGTGCACTAGCACTGTGATTCCTTGAACTAAGGAGAAAGTAGTGAGCATTCTTGGTTGCTAACACTGACTAACATACAGAAAAAGGAATTTACCAGAAGGATACCAAAGTAGCTCAGACAATGAAGAATAACTTCAGATGATGCTGTTCATGCCTAAGGAAGAATCTGGTTGGAAGACCTAGGACACTGGACACTGCCACAGTATGCTAGACATATTCTTTTCTTTTTTAAATGTTTTTATTTATATTTGAGAGAGAGAGAGACAGCACAAGTGGGGAGGGGCAGAGAGAGATGGAGACACAGAATCTGAAGCAGGCTCCAAGCTCTGAGCTGTCAGCACAGAGCCTGATGCACGGCTCGAACTCATGAACCATGAGATCATGACCTGAGCCAGTCGGACGCTTAACCGACTGAGCCACCCAGGTGCCCCAACTGCTAGACATATTCTAAAGTCTCCCTGCTTCACAAGCTCCAATTCAAGGTCTTAGGTACGATTCTCTAATTTGCTGGGCTTGGTTTATGTGCCAGAGTTCTAGATGACCAGTGAGGATGTGGGGAGAGTAAACATATGGCTTTTATGGCTTCAATAATGGGAGCTGAGGGGTCCTGCCTACTACTCAAGATTGACACAGAGTCTGATTCTTCAAGCATAGAAAGAAGTTCAGATGTTGAGCACGTACATCCCCTCCAAATACCAGAAACATCCAAATAGCTGCAGTTTTTTACTCTCAGGGTCTACTCATCCTAAACCTTTTTTTTCCCCAATTTCTTTTCTGTTTTACAAATGAGGCTCAGAGGTATTTAATTAACTTGCCCAAGGATATATCTGATAAGTAGGAAAGCTGAGATGAAAATCCTGGGTTTGTTTCTTTCTTTTCTTTTCTTTCTTTCTTTCTTTCTTTCTTTCTTTCTTTCTTTCTACTTTTTATTGTGGAAAATTTCAAAAATAAAAAAGTAGAAAGACAAATATAACAAATCCTTCAGTAGCCATCAGCCAGCTTCAACAGTTATCAACTCATGGCCAGTCTTGTTTCATCTACACTCCCACCTATACTCATCCATGCCTACTGGATTCTTACAAAGCAAATCCCAAGTATCATAACACTTAAGCCAAAAATATTTCTGTAAGACTCTCTAAGGGATACAGACTATTTTATAAACATGTAACCACAAGACATCACACTAAGCAAATCAATAACTCCTTAATATCAAATCAATAACTCCTTAATATCATTAAATATCCAATCAGTGTTCACATTACCCCAATTGTTTTGTAAATTTTTCGTAGTTGGTTTATTTGAATCAAAATTCAAATAAGACCCATACTTTGCAACTGGTAAATGTTACTGTTGTTTTTGTCGCAATTTATTTGTTGGAGAAAAAGAAAAGTGAGTCATTTATCTTACAGACTTCCCCATATTCCAGATTTTATGATTTACATCTTAGTAGTGTCATTTAATGTGTTCCTCTGTATATCCAGGTCATTCTAGCTCAAAAAGGCCAGACTATAACCCTATACGACCCTCCTAAGGGGATTATTGTGATTCTCAAATGTTCTATATCTGATGGGTGTTTTTTAGTTGTAAAGTCAGAAGCAGATTTCACATACCGTAACTTTTCGTGATCCCACTACTTTCAGATGTAGGTTTCACAACATGATGGTTTCCTCTAACTTTTTTGCATCCTCTTTCCTTTTCAGGAACATTCAGAAGGTAAACAGTGTCCCCAGGAGTCTCAGGACCCTCTCTTGTCCCACCTGCAGCCACTATCCCCTGGCCGGGCACACCTGGAGCTGAAGCGCTACTACAGCATCTGCCAAGATACTGCCTTGGGGCAACCAGGCTTCCAAGAAGCAGGAGAGTTGAAAAGGGAGGGGAGGACTCAGAACTCCCTCAGCCCCACCATGGCACCCAAGCTCAGCTTAGAGGTTCGAAAACTCAGTAACGGCAGGTTGTCGACATCTCTAAAGTTGGGGCCCTTGCAACCCCGCGGAGTGCCACTTCGGGAGAAAAAGGCAACCCAGATGTTGGCCATTGTGCTTGGTGAGTTTGGGTCATGTTGCATTGAGTTGCGTTGGATTTGGTCGGGTTAGGTTGAGTTGGTGGAGCTGACCGGGGGTACTAAGGAACCGCACTTGTCAGAAATTGGAAATTCAAGTAGCTGTAATATTTATAAATGTTTGCAATACAACTGAGGAGGGGTTATGTATAAATGTTAACTCCAGTGAAAATTCAAAAGACCTAGGCTGAAATTTACGAAACATGAAATTTAACAAGTGGCCTAGTTGAGCTGCATTTAGCTATTGGGTTTGTTGCCCATCACGTGGAGTTGTAATGGACAAATCAAATAATAAAGAAGATAACAATTCAATAAAAATTTCTGGCACGTATTGGATATTTAATAAATGCTTACTTGTATTCTAAATTATTAAGTGAAAAAAATAGGGATGCAAAAAACTTCAGTCATATGGTGCAATAACATCTAGATTATTTTAAATACAGAGAAAAAAATACGAAAATTAATTTACCAAGATGTCAAAAGTGATTGTCTTTGAGTGGTGGATGGTTATTTTCCTTCTTTCACATTTCTGTATTTACCAAGTTTCCTGTTATGAATAAAATCAGGGTTAGTCATTATAGGAGAAAAATAGAGGATTTATTTAAATTAAGAAAAAAATCAGTAAGTCATAGGTACCATATAGAGTTAGTGAAGGCAATTTATTCTGTTCATTGTCACTGACAAACCTCACTTTTTCATATCTTAGGGACTTTGTGAAAACATCTAGATGTAATCTCAACAGCAGGAACTGTCAGTCATGTCTTTAAGGTCTTCTTCCCTATCAGTGCCTAGGATCAGGTCTCGCACAGCTAGACATTAAATAAACATTTGAATTGAATCAAGAAGTAGAAAAGACTGGTAAAGAGCTACCTAAATAGCAAACGAGAAAACTGATTTAGGAACAAAGGCCTGAGATGAATCAAAGATGTAAGCATGTAGTTTTCTCACCACCCCCGCCAAAAAAGTGGCTAATCACACCTACTTCATAGGGTTGGTATACAAATAAACGGGTATGTAAAATTCCAGCATAGCCGCTGGCAGATAACAAACAACCATGAGTCATTTTCATTGTTATAACAAAAAGAGTGAGCAAACCCCTTACCCAATTTCTCTCTTCCTTTGTAACCCAGGGACCTTCATTGTCTGCTGGCTGCCCTTCTTTTTGACCCACGTTCTCAATACCCACTGCCAAGTCTGCCATGTGTCCCCAGAGCTTTACAGCGCCACCACGTGGCTGGGCTACGTGAACAGTGCCCTCAACCCTGTGATCTATACCACCTTCAATGTTGAGTTCCGTAAAGCTTTCCTCAAGATCCTGTCTTGCTGAAGGAGAGGAGAACATACTCGCTGTGGCCACCTTTAGCTACCAGGCCACTGGGCAACTGGCCAGGGCCTGCTGAGAAAGACTGTGCTATGTTCTCTGGCATGGGGTAGGAAGATTCCTGGAGCCAGGACATCCCTGAGTAGCAGGTGTAACCAACTGCTTCTTCCTAAACAGAATGTTCTACCTCCCCAGCTAAAACTCTGACTTCATCCTGTAAATCTTCAAGTGCTTGGGAGGTCCCTGAATGATAAGCAATAATTCAGAGAGAAGCTGATAAAACGTGACTCGACTCTACACACACACACACACACACACACACACACACACCCCAAATTGTCATCCGAGGCATGATTCATCACAGTGAAGGAAAAATGAACAGATCTCATAATTGTCAACTCGCCAGGGGTCCTTGAAATCTCAGCCAGTAAACCATCTTGCAAAACAGCCAGTCTCTCTTCCTTCAAGCCTATAATTAAACTATCAGGCTGACCCTGTACTTTTGTGGGCCAACACCCTTTTGGTCATTCCTTTGGTTCATTGTATCCTGAACTATAAGGACAAGGCCAGTGCTTCTACCTCTCTGTAGAATCTGGCTGCATTTGGTGAGGAAAATTCCTCGCCCTGAGGAAGACATTGTCCCACATTGGGACATGGGCTTCCTTTCAAACCTTGTTACCCCTGTATTGTAGCTCTAGCTAAGAAGACCCTTTGACTCCATTCCCATAATCCCAGAGACTCAACCTCAGAGTAATTCAGGATGAGGTTGTTAAGTGGAAAAGGAATGATGGCTCCCACTGTAGTATCACTTTAAACCATGCAGTTCATAACATGCCTCAGATATGCTTTTCATAATGCTATAAACGTTTTATTCCCAGGCATCATCTCCTGCTTAACAGAGACCCAATACTTTCAGACCCTAAACCCAGTAAGTCCTAAGTGTCTACAAAGTGCCGGTCACCTCCCAGGCTCTGGATATATGACAATGAATAAAACAGCTCCTGCCCTCAAGGATCCCACCACCTGCTCCTATGTTTGTTCATTTGTGAGCATGGAAGAGACTCCCCTAGACTGCCAGTAGACCTCAGAACTGAGGGCACCAGGCATGTAGCTGTCCAAAGACAGCACACGGACAGTCTTTATAAAGGCCTAGTGCAGAATCTGAATGTGACCACTCCAACAACTGAAATTAAAGGCATTATAAAAATAATGTGTCGATGTCATTCAAAATTGCATTTAGAAGGAACTTGAATAGTCTCACCACTACCTGTTCACCTACAGAAGCTATCTCTTATTGACTACAGAATCAAGATACAATTTACAGATAATTTATGAAGTGTTATCATATCGAACTTCAATAAATTTACTGTTAAGAGCTGTTAGTGCACAGGCATGACAGATGTCCACAGCAATCCTGGTAATATTTTACTTTTTTTTTGTTAGAAGTTTATTTATTTATTTTGAAAGAGACAGACAGAAAGAGAGCATGCATAAACGGTGGAGGGTCAGAGAGAAAGAGAATCCCAAGCAGGCTCCCTGATGTCAGCACAGAGCCTAACACAGGGCTGGAACCCATGAACCATGAGATCATAACCTGAGCTGAAATGAAGAGTCGGACACTTAATGGACTAAGCCACCCAGGTGTCCCAGTGCTGGTAAAGCTTTAAAGTGCACAAGAACTTTACAAAGAATCCAAGGCTTCCTTTGCCCAATCTTTATGCCTCTAACCCTTAAGTGTATAAGAAGGAAATATATATCCCCAGTGACTTAGTTACCTGTTACTCCTGAATGCTTTTAATGCCAGCATTTTTAACATGTTGTTGTGTATGTCAGTATTTATATTTTAACTCAGTGGAAAAATTTTGTGTGCCCACTAGTTCTTGTACCTTATACCATCTAGCTCAGTAGGTTTATGGTGCAAGCAGAACTGGGGACTGAGACAGTTACATATCTGAAGAAGTAAAAGTACATGATTCCTAGATTTTCCCATGCACAATAAACAGAAAACAAGTAGGATAGTGGGTTAAAATTAATAAAATTCCATGTCAAAATTAGAGTACTAAAAATAAAAACATAGGCCACATCAGCACTAATATATTTATGAGGAAGAATGAATAGCAAATATTGTGTATCCTTCCTTACATCGAAAACCTTACATCATTAAAACTTTATGATAACCTTAAGAAGATAAACTCAGTTTTGTAGGTGAGGAAATTGAGGCTAAGGGAAGTCAAGAAATTTGCCTCAAGTTATACGTAGTGGCAGAGCTGGGATTTTTTTTTTTTTTTAATGTTTATTTTTGACAGGGGCAGGGAATGGGAGAGGAGCAGAGAGAAGGGGATAGAGGATCCTAAGCAGACTCTGTGCTGACATCAGTGAGCCTGTTGCAGGGCTCAACCTCAAAGAACCGTGAGATCATGACCTGAACCGAAGTCAGACACTCAACTGACTGAGCCACCTAGGCACCCCCAGAGCTGGGATTTGAATATACTTCTACCTGCTTCGCAAGCCCATACAACTAACTACTATGACACACTGCCTTCCACCAGAGAGGTAAATGGGTGGGAGAAAAAGACAGGGAGAAAAGAATGGGACAAAGATCGCTGGGAGAGCTTCAGCCTACCTGACCCACTGCCACCCCTAAACTTCCTGAAGAACCCAGCCCGAGGCATTGCTCTCACTCTCCTGCCATGTTCAATTTCTAAAACAGTCACCCAGGAAATTCATAATCTGTTTTTATAAAATCATGCAACAGAATTTAGAGAGTATTTGTTTCTACTCTCTCCTTCATTTGTACAAAAGGAAACTCAAGTCCAGAACTATTGTCCCACAGTTGGCTAATGACAGACACGCAGTCAAATATACTGAACTCTTCTATAAAAACTATAAACTCCATATAGATACAAGGAGAAAGTCATACTGTCACCTTCACCATTAAGCTGAGAGGCTTCTTTTCTCCTAGACAGTGTCTCTTATCTCTAATCTGAGACAACATTCCCTTCCCAGAATTTTCTTCTGATCCAGGCAGAGCCTTCTAAGGGAATCCCAAACATTCCCTTCAGCCTCTTCATCTTGGGATTCTTCATTCTACCACCTCGACCTCTATAGTTCCCACTATGAACCAGCACTTAACCTCAGAGCTTTGCACTCTCAGAGCCAGCATGGCCAAAAATTGTAGGAGAAATGTTGCCCTGAATGAAGCAGAGCAGAGTTGTTGAGGGCAAACCTGTTCTGGGGCCTAATGAAGCCTCAGAGCTTCCCATACTGTTTGGGTGAAATGCAAATAAGCATGGAAATTCAGGTAGATTGCAACCAACATTCAACTCTAGATCATAAGTAAATATTTCCTTTTCCTAGCACATATCCTCTAACACTCCTTACATTGCTCATTTACTAAATCAATCACTTATTCAATAAATAAATAAATGTTGATTTATCACCTTCTGTGTGCCAGGCATGGTGTTAGTGCTGGGAAACATCATCAAGGAAGACAAGGTCCCTGCCCTCAGAAGCTTGTAGCACACTGGGAAAGTCTAACTTATGCATATACCAATGACCTACTTTTTGTCTATAGTAAAAAGAATTCATATAGTGTTTGGAAGTTCAATATTCAGCCCTAACAAGTCTTCCCAGACAAGTATTGTCAGAGTTAAGACATAATTAAAAAGTAGGAACAGTGTACCAGGCAGAGAAAACCTTTGAAGGGCTAAAGATGTAAACAAGGAAGAAGCATTCAAGGCATCTCAAATAATTCCATCTGGCTGTAGAGAAGAGGCCATAGGGCAGGAAAGGAAAGGGCCTCATCTTTGGAGACCTCCTCCAGCTCTGCTCAGGTGGTAACTGAGCAGGTGGTGATACAACTTGCAGAAAACCTCTAGATCTTTCCCCCACTTCCCTCCATGTGGGCAACACACATCACAGACGACTTACTTAACTGACTTATTTAATTACTTCCCTCTGTGCTACAGTGAATTTCAATAAATGCAAAATTCAATTTGAATTCTTTGCTCTTTTCTATACAAGTGGAGAAATGGCTGGCTGAATGGATGTAGAATCAGAGATGGTTAAAATTAAGGCAGTTCAGAGAATTTGGGTTAGAAATCGAGGGGGTCAAGCAAAGAGATTTGTCTTCCTGAATGCTTGGGTCAGAACTAAACAGAGGAGCAGAAAGGTTAAGGGATCTGCTCAGAACTGGCTGTTTCCAGCAAGTCCTGACTCCCAGGCCTGTGCTCCCATCCTTTGGTATCTGCTGATATCAGAAAGCTGAAAAAGCTTAATTTGAGTCAACACACAAAGAGCAGAGAGGGGATGACAGGCAATTAACTTGATTCCTCCTTTCTACCTAATTCTCTCCTCATCAGCTTAGGAGGGAAGTGAGTTTCCATGACTACCTCCTGACACGGAGATTCAGTGGAGGGTGATGCCGATGTCAGCCCTGCTCTGTCGCACACACTAGCAGAGGCAGAACCTAGGAGTCTGTGCCAAGCACAAGTCCTGGGACGTCTTGCCCCACCCATCCCAATGGCCTTACTCACTAGACGAAGATTAGACTACATTATGAATTAGAAGTGTTTGACAACGATAAGCTCTAACAAATGTGAGAGATTATTATCATTGATATTATTATCATCTTCATCATCATCATCATCATCATCCCCCTAAGCAGCTATTTTTATCATTGCTATCTGGTTCACAGCCCATCTTTCTTTCTCTTTGCTGATTCTCTAATTGTCTCATGCTATCAGGCACAATCTGTTCAGCCTCCCACATGAAATCTGATTTTTCTCTTGTCTTTTATTCCCTAAATGTTCCCAGGATACTTGGCTGGATTTGTAGTGAAGTTGTTAGGCAAATGGCTAGTCCCTAACAGCACACCCTTTCCCTGCTCATCCAGCCATGTGCCCAAGTATAGAGTGATCTGACACCAGGCTAATGGCAGATACGTGCTTGCTAAAGGTGACCTTGGGGCCTCTGTTCCTCTCCTGGCCAGGGAATGAGGATCAGAA